GTCTGCTCCTGTCTGCTCCTCTGTCTCTGCTCCTGTCTGCTCCTGTCTCTGCTCCTGTCTGCTCCTGTCTCTGCTCCTGTCTGCTCCTGTCTCTGCTCCTGTCTGCTCCTGTCTGCTCCTGTCTGTCTCCTGTCTGCTCCTGTCTCTGCTCCTGTCTCTGCACCTGTCAGTTCCTCTGTCTCTGCTCCTGTCAGCACCTGTCTCTGCTCCTGTCTACACCTGTCTGCTCCTGTCTGCTACCTGTCTCTGCTCCTGTCTCTGCTCCTGTCTGCTCCTGTCTGCTGCTCCTGTCTGCTGCTCCTGTCTGCTCCTGTCTCTGCTCCTGTCTCTGTCTCTGTCCTCTGCTCCTGTCTGCTCCTGTCTGCTCCTGTCTCTGTCTCTCTGTCTCTGCTCCTGTCTGCTCCTGTCTGCTCCTGTCTGCTCCTGTCTCTGCTCTGTCTCTGCTCCTGTCTGCTCCTGTCTGCTCCTGTCTGTACCTGTCTCTGCTCCTGTCTGCTCCTGTCTGCACCTGTCTCTGCTCCTGTCTGTACCTGTCTCTGCTCCTGTCTACACCTGTCTGCTCCTATCTCTGCTCCTGTCTCTGCTCCTGTCTCTGCTCCTGTCTGCTCCTATCAGCACCTGTCTCTGCTCCTGTCAGCACCTGTCTCTGCTCCTGTCTACACCTGTCTGCTCCTATCTCTGCTCCTGTCTCTGCTCCTGTCAGCACCTGTCTCTGCTCCTGTCTGCTCCTGTCAGCACCTGTCTCTGCTCCTGTCTGCACCTGTAAACTTCTCTGTCTCTGCTCCTGTCTGCACCTGTCTCTGCTTCTGTCTCTACTTCTGTCTCTGCACCTGTCTACACCTGTCTCTGCTCCTGTCTGCACCTGTCTCTGCTCCTGTCTCTACTTCTGTCTCTGCACCTGTCTGCACCTGTCTCTGCTCCTGTCTGCACCTGTAAACTTCTCTGTCTCTGCTCCTGTCTGCACCTGTCTCTACTCCTGTCTCTGCACCTGTCTGCACCTGTCTCTGCACCTGTCTGCACCTGTCTCTGCACCTGTCTTTACTCCTGTCTTTGCACCTGTCAGCACCTGTCTAGTTTCACTCGTTGTAAAAAACTGAAATCTTAAACTTTTCTTTTCCAAAAATAAAATCCTGTAGATTTAATAAAAATGTGGCGTAAAGTCGGTCACTGGATAAACTGGATAAACTGGATAAAGTTGATAAAGTTGATAAAGTTGATAAAGTTGATCTTAAAGTGATGTGAGGATCTGGCAGAGTCTCGGACGTTTGGACACAGATAAGATTCTATCGTTTAATCCTTTACAAAAACAAAACTACATTCCTGAGCCGGAGCTTCATTAAATCCACCTCAGACATTTAAAGGTAAAGTTTTTTTTACAGATTAGAAAACACTCACAATTAAAGCGACGCAAAGAAACATCATCACCATGGAGACAAACGCCGTTTTAGTCTTTACATGCTCCTTTAAGAATCTTTACATCATCTGAGAGTTATTGGTTTTATCATGTTTTGATAAAGGACTTTTTGAATTACTGCGATGGTTTATCCGTCCACACTTTATTTTATTATGTTTCATTTGTCCAACTCAGAGAAAAACGTGGACGCCACCGGAAAACTGTAGTTGTTTTAGCATCGGCCGAGTATCAAAACCTCCAGGAAGAATTCAGGATAAATACAGTTGTATAATTCAGAATAAATAGAATAATTCAGTATTAGTGTCGCTGAGAGTTGATCACTTCCACTGGCACTTTACAGAAAACTGTGTTTCTTCAAACTGGAGTCACATTCTCTTACTGGTTTTACAGTGGGATTTAGTCTCTGCACATTTACCAAACACACGTTGTGACAAATACAGATGCATTTGTGCACTTTTGTTCGGCAAAATTCAGCCACGTGTTAATTGTAAGAAGTTAATTGCCGACAGCAGCAGCCAGAATGAAATATCATCACACTCGACCGAGTCCAAACGCCTTCAAGACCGAGACAAGACCGAGTCCAAACGCCTTCAAGACCGAGACAAGACCGAGTCCAAACGCCTTCAAGACCGAGACAAGACCGAGTCCAAACGCCTTCAAGACCGAGACAAGACCGAGTCTAAACGCCTTCAAGACCGAGACAAGAGACCGAGTCCAAACGCCTCAGACCGAGACGAGAGTCAAGCCGAGACCGAGACCGATCCAAACCGCCTTCAAGACCGAGACAAGACGAGTCTAAACGCCTTCAAGACCGAGACAAGACCGAGACAAGACCGAGTCCAAACGCCTTCAAGACCGAGACAAGACCGAGTCCAAACGCCTTCAAGACCGAGACAAGACCGAAAACCGAACAAGACCGAGTCTAAACGCCTTCAAGACCGAGACAAAACCGAGTCTAAACGCCTTCAAGACCGAGACAAGACCGAGTCCAAACGCCTTCAAGACCGAGACAAGACCGAGTCTAAACGCCTTCAAGACCGAGACAAGACCGAGTCTAAACCATGGATCTATTAAAGTAACTGGAGGCTGTTGCTGCTTGTCGTCAGGTTCTGTCAAGCAGAAGTAAACAACAAGGCCAAAAATTCAAGTTAATAGTCGAGGAGCCAAAGTCTCAAAAATGGGTTGAACCTGACATCACCTGCCATACTTTTTATTTGTGTTTTTTTTTTTTTGTTAACTGTGAACCTGAGGACCAATAATTGGAGGATCTGCTCTTCCGGAAATATCGCGAAAAAAAATTGTGGCCATTTTAGTGTAGGTGACCTTCATTTTCTGATAGAAAATTTTGAAAAATGTCCTCAAATCCTCAGTGGATTGGGTAAACTGTCTACAAATACATTCCAGATGCAAAGAAAACATGTGGTGACAACATTCAGTGAAAAAAATATTCATAAAACACATTTCTACATGATTTTGGCTCAATTTAATGCCAAAAAATAAGGCATTTTTTCACTTTTTTCCAATATTTTCATCTTTACCTCATTGGCAATCAACTATTCCCCCAAGTTATGACATAAACCAATATATCATTCTTTTCTCCAAACAGTATAGTCATTCCACAGAAAAAAATATAAAAATCCAACCAAAATCAATGGATCTGTGATGATTTCTTTACCATCAACAGGCCCAGAACCTCAGTAGAACATTAGGCTCCTCTCCACAGTCCATAAGTCACACTGGACAGTTACAGTTATTCCATCTTTGAACTGTTGATGAAGGTACATGTTTTTTTTTTTTTTTTTTAAGTATTTAAAATGATAAAAATGTTCTTGGAAGGACTGACATATTTTATAGAAATAGTTTCCTTTCATTTTGAAGTAATATTAAAGTATTCGGAAGAAAAAAGCAACAAATGATGTAAAATCCTGCACCTTCTACTTGTTTGTACAATTTTCCCTCCGTTACTTTTCCCTCCGTTACCATGAACTTTCTTAATAAAAAATCTCATGAGTCAAAAAGTAAGAGGTTTTTCAACCTAATCTTGTACCATATGGTAGAAAACTATATGAAGCAAATATTCAAACCAGTTTGTTAAGGATATGTAAGTGAGAACCAAGAGTTATCACTGTTTGGATTTATTGCCCAAAAAGTGCTGCATATTTCATTCCCTCCGTTACCGACATGAGTTTTTAAATTTTTGTCAACAACTTGAAAGAATCTCACAGGTTTAACTTGACCCTGTTGGAGTGTAACTCTTTCCTACATTCTGATACTTTACTTATTTCAATAGTTCCTCTAGTTTCTGAATAAGAGACATTTGAATGTCAAAAATCTGCCCCTGTTTCCCTCCGTTAACACTTGACTGGACCCAGTTGCCTCCAGTTGGTGAAGTGACTCACTGAAACTTCAGCGGAAAAAATCCCATGGGCCGAGACAAGATTTTTCTTATAGAGGCAATGTGATCACAAACTGTTCGTGTTCGACTGACAGGGACCTACAACTTTTAAAATGATGGATTTGTGTGGCGATTTTTACCTATTTTTAGATCATAAACTTTTTCTCAGTTCAAAATCCTTCAGTCGTCTTAAAAAACTCTTTATAATCCTTCACTCTGCTCCTCTCGCTCTGATTGGTCAAAGTGATCACGTGATACACGATCACGTGATACACGACCCCGCGCTCCGTCCATGCGTTCCTGTCCTGTTCGTGCCCGCGGTCTACTGCACATGCTCGGTCGTCCCACAGACACAGGAAGAACCTCCCCAGGTTAAAGGTGAATCTGGTCATGAACCATTGAGCTCGGCCCATTGACTTGAGTGGGCGGCCATTTTGAAACCCCGGGGCTTGGTCCAGAGCATTGGAGGCCGGTCTCAAGACCAAGACCGGTCTCAAGTACTACGACACTACGTCTTAGTCCACTACAGCACAGGTGTCAAACATACGGCCCGGGGGCCAAATCCGGCCCTCCAAGACCTTTAATCTGGCCCTCGGCTGATTTTCTACTAAAATATTTTAATGATATTTTCTATTAAAATCTTGTTAATTTTCTGTGGTGTTTATCACAGCAGCGTCTCCAGCGTCTCTGTACGTGGCCCCTCCCACCAGAGCAGCACAAATGAAGACTTGTCTCTTTCCAAACGCTCTTAAAGGACGATCGTTTTGACTGTTGACCGTGACACCCTCATCAGAAAAATGTCCAACATGAGAAAAGTGGAGCCGAGTGCAGGATTTTACAACAAAAATTGACTTATTCTTATTTGCAAAAAAGTTCATGTTAAAACATTGTGTTGAAATTGCATTTTTCTTAAAGTTTCAGGTTGTTCATAAAATTATAATATTTTGTTAAAGAAAGAGTTCATCAATTTAAAAAGATTTCTGTAATAGATTTGTGTTTCTCTGCACAAATATTTGAACTTATTGTTATTTTTGGGGTTTATATGACATGAGTTTTCTGATCCGGACACTTTGGGATCAAAGTCGGTTGGATACGACCCCCGGAACAAAATGAGTTTGACTCTCCTGGTCTGCAGCTTTACTGATGCTGTTTCATTGTCATTTAATCCAATGAAAAGAACGACAACAGTGATAAAGACGTGTTATATTTTAGTATAGTTTAGTGGTACTTTTTTTTTTTACATTTACACAAAAAATAAAACACACAACTGAGTAAAAATGTTAAATAAAGTCGTACAAGTGTCCATGTTGTACCTCGGTGTTTCTTCTTCTGCAGATCAGCCTTCGATGAGGATTTGAGAACAGCACCACACAGAGGCCGGAGACAAAAACACCTGAAACACACCAACACAAAACTGTAACGTCGTTTATTAAAACTTCCACCGAGACGACCGCCCCGTTTGTTTATGTTTATGTTTTATGTTTATTTCAACTTCTAGTCATTGTCACAGAAGAACAACGACATTGCGTTTGGAGCATCGTAAAGTGCAAACACATAAACAGTGTTGGGAAGGTGACTTTTAAAATGTAATCCCCTACAGATTACAGATTACATCCACCAAAATGTAGTTTGTAACAGAATCCATTAAATTACTTAAGGTGAGTAATGTAATCTGATTACTTTGCTGTAGAGAAGCAAAGACGAGGATATTGTATCATAAGATGTTTTGTTTGCTAAAAGAAATTTTAAAAAAAGCCCAGACTTTACTTAACGTATTAAAAATATTATTGATAGTTTAGTCCTGTTAAATCCTGGTTTAGACCTGTTTGAGACCTGGTTTTAGTCCTGGTTTAGTCCTGGTTTAGTCCTGGTTTAGTCCTGGTTTAGTCCTGGTTTAGACCTGGTTTAATCCTGGTTTAGTTGGTTTACCTGGTTTAGACCTGGTTTAGTCCTGGTTTAGTCTGGTTTTAGTCCTGTTTAGTCCTGGTTTAGTCCTGGTTTAAGTCCTGGTTTTAGTCCTGGTTTAGACCTGGTTTAGTCCCTGGTTTAGTCCTGGTTTCCTGGTTTAGACCTGGTTTAGTCCTGGTTTAGTCCTGGTTTTTTAGACCTGGTTTTAGTCCTGGTTTAGACCTGGTTTTAGTCCTGGTTTAGTCCTGGTTTAGACCTGGTTTAGTCCTGGTTTAGACCTGGTTTAGTCCTGGTTTAGTCCTGGTTTAGTCCTGGTTTAGACCTGGTTTAGTCCTGGTTTAGTCCTGGTTTAGTCCTGGTTTAGTCCTGGTTTAGTCTCTGGTTTAGACCTGGTTTAGTCCTGGTTTAGTTTAGACCTGGTTTAGACCTGGTTTAGTCCTGGTTTAGTGGTTTAGACCTGGTTTAGTCCTGTGGTTTAGTCCTGGTTTAGTCCTGTTTAGGGTTTAGACCTGGTTTAGTCCTGGTTTAGTCCTGGTTTAGACCTGGTTTAGACCTGGTTTAGTCCTGGTTTAGTCTGGTTTAGTCCTGGTTTAGACCTGGTTTAGTCCTGGTTTATCTGGTCCTGGTCTCCTGGTCTTTTCTGGTTTCAGTCCTGGTCGTCCTTCTAGTCCTTGGTCCTGGAAGTCCTGGTTCAGTCCCAGTCCTTTTTTTCATTGGTTTTGTTCCAAAAGTCCTGGTTTTTTTTTCGTTTTATTTTTGGTTTTATAACAAAAAAAAATTGATTGGTTTGACTACTGAGGAATAAATTAGTTCAGCTTTAAAATCGGAATAAACCACCAACTCACTTTGGAATTACACTTAATTCCTAATAAACATTTTCATGAAGAATAAGTGTTTACATGGTCTTTTTAAAACAGAATTCACTTTTATTCAGAATTAAATTATTTTCATTCGGACTTTAAAGTGTCTGAAAGTTGTGAAACGTCTTTATAAACTCATCATGTGGAATAATTAAGACGCTCTGAACGTTTAAGGTGAGTGAGGAATAACTCTGTAAATGTTTCAGATGAACTCTTTGAGGACAGTAAAAATCAGGTACAGCTCCTTCAAAACGAAACGTGGTGATTTGTTTTTTGCGCGGCGGTGAGTAAACGGCGTCTGGAGACTCGGGGGTTTGGCTTTTCCTCTCGAGCTTTATGTGCCGCAGTAAAAAGGCAGAGCTTCGGGGACCGGCTCCAAAAACACACTTTAAACTGAAGGAGGATTAATACGAGCGAGTCCATTAGAGGAGGGCTCAGACATGTCTCCCCGTCCTGCGCGTGAGCTGCGCGACTCACGACAGCCCAGGTTAAACTAAAGGGTAAAATAATAAACTGTAAAAGGGTAAAATACGAAAATGATGTTGTTTTCCAGAGTCGACCCAAAAAAACTCCAGGACGAAAGGGACGACGAACTCACTTTTTCTACTGATTCTCTGTGGAAATGCGTTTAAAATAGAAGTGTATCTCTGAGTGTGTTTACATGCACATCAATAACCCGGTTATTATCCATATCCCGGTTCTGTCAGTGTTCGTGTTACTGTGTTTACATGAGCACTGAGAAACCGGGACACTCATATCCGCATGATCAAATGTTGGTCTTTGACATAATCTTACAAATGCGCAGGCGCAAAAATTAACTTAAATAAATTTCATAAACCAGGAAAAATACAAACCGTGAGCTCCTTTAGCATAAGAAGCTAAGGAGCTACGAGATCTCCCACAATCCACTGTGCAGATTCTTCATTCAAATCTTCTGCATAAATAAACTCAACTTTACAACATATAAACCATAAACACTATAGACACATCAGCCCGTTTGATCAGATCATTCAGCTCTGATCACATTTGTTTATGTTTTACAGAAACGAAAACTTAAGACCGTTTGGCTAATTAGCATAAACTGTTAGCGGCGATGATAAAAACAACTCGCTCCTTGTGCCGCTGATGTGATCAGTTTCTTTTGGACTAAATGACACGACTCTGTGGATTATGTGTGTTATTTCTGTGACAGAAGAGGTGCTGATGATGGTGAGTCTGTTCTGTGTGTGTGTTGTACAGGAGATAGTTCATGTTTTAGTTTTTCAGCGTCACACATGTGTGGTCGTACGAGTGCAGTCGTACGAGTGCAGGTCGTACGCAGTGCAGCTCTTTATTTACAGTCATTTTCATCGTTTGGTCACTTTATTTATGTTGGTCAATTTATTTATGTCACTACTGTGTGTGGTGAAAGGCTGGAAAGTGTCTTTTGGACGCATGTGACTCAACTTTATGTTTGCAGTAACCGGGATACTGCGTTTACATGACACAAGTAACCCGGTTACTATCGGAATAAACCAGCTACAGTAACTCGGTTTCTAATAACCGGGATACTGCCATAACCGGGTTACTGAAACCGGGTTACTGCGTTTACATGCACCATCAAGAAACCGGGATACTCAAAAAACCCGATCATAACCGGGTTATTGATGTGCATGTAAACACACTCTCTGTCCATGGATTTGTTTTGGCATTTTACTGCAGATTTGTGACTTCTATCCATTTTCTTCCTCTTATCCGGGGTCGGGTCGTGGGGGCATCAGTCTAAGCAGGGACTCCCAGACTTCCTTCACCCCGGACACTTCCTCCAGCTCCTCCAGGGGGACCCCGAGGTGTTCCCAGGACCAGAGACACAGGCTGCGTTCAGACTGCAGCCTGAAGTGACTCAAATCTGTTTTTTTGGCCCCTATGTTCCTGTATCTGATCTTTTGACGTGTGACTTCAGTCTGAACGGCCAAACCGCATTCATCCACCTACACGTTATCAACAAGACACAAACGTCACTATTGTGTTTAAATGAAGAATGGAAAAAACTGATAACGGCCGTTTCCCGTTTACGTGACTTCTGCGACTGTGATGCCGAACTTTTGCGCTGCATACGGACTGAAAAAGGACTGATCCAGGTCCAGACTGGGACCAGACCGAGATTGAGATCAGAACTGAAACCGGGACCAGACTGGGACCAGAGCTTTGACTCTGAGCCTCCGCGGGGTCCAAGCCTTAACTTCGAGCTCCGGCCCTGCCCTGGGCTCTGAGCCTCCGGTCTGGTCCTGGTCTGGTCTCAGTCTGGGTCTGGTCCCGATCTCAGTTCCGATCTCAGTTCTGATCTCAGTCTCGGTCTGGTCTGGGTCTGGTCCAGGTCTGGTCTCAGTCTCGGTCTCGGTCTCAGTTCTGATCTCAGTCTCGGTCTGGTCTGGGTCTTGTCCCGGTCTGGTCCCGGTCTGGTCTCAGTCTCGGTCTGGTCCCGGTCTCAGTTCTGATCTCTGTCTCGGTCTGGTCTGGGTCTGGTCCCGGTCTGGTCCCGGTCTGGTCTCAGTCTCGGTCTGGTCCCGGTCTGGACCTGGATCAGTCCTGGTTCAGTCCGTATGCGGTGCAAAAGTTCAGCATCTCAGTCACTGACGTCACGTAAACGGGAAACGGCCGTTATCATTTTTTTTCCATTTTTCATTTAAACACAAAATCGAAAACTGAAAAAACAAATCATTATCTGTTTTTCATTTTGGTTTTGGAGACAAATAATGAAGAAAACTGTTGTTTTTTTTCATTTTCTTATTTTTGCTTTTATATTGAAAAACGAATGAATGAATGACACACGGATTTTAGAGATTAAAAATGAGATTAACGTGATTAAAAAACATAACGAGCTAAATATGACTGTATTTAATTCATCACAGTTAACGTGATCATTTGACAGCCCTGGTTTGGGTGGAACCAAAAGTGAAGCGAACCAAAACAAACATGGCAACAGCACTGCAGACTGTAAAAGAATGAAAGTAATTTATTGTAATAAAACACTTGACTTCAGTAACACAATCATCTTCCCTCGACACAACGTTGGCACCATTTTCTAAACTGTGGCATATTTCTGTCTGACCGGTGCCTTTGGGTCTTCATAGTCTCACCGCACTTCCTTTATAAACCTCCTCTTTTGGAAGCTCAGTCCAGGGGCTCGAACGCTCAAAGATGATTCTATTTTCACTTTTGAACTCACACTCTGTGCTCTTTTCACGTCCCTCTGGGCCGTATTATTGATGATAAATAAGACGTCCAGTTGGTCTCCAGCCTTTTTACTTCCTCCCTTTCTTGGACGAGCTGAAAACTTCTACAACACAGAATATTTCAGTGCCAATAACAGAGGAATATTTGTGAAAAACGTGCTTTTGTGGAGGGGAGATGTTTGTGCTTTTCTCTCATTTAACTGGATTTAACTCAAGTTTTATTTTTTGTTTTGTTTTGTTTTGTTTCTGCTGTTGTGACTCTCGAACAATCAGATTATCAGTTTTAAATATTCGCCGTGACATTCTACAATTTTCCAAACACTGTACAACTTAATTGGAAGATTCTAGACAAAATAAGAAAACAGATGGAACTACATAAACCACAGGTGTCAAACATAAGGCCCGGGGGC